GGCCTGGGCCAAATGGCCAGAGCTAAAGCCACGGTGGCGGCAGGGGATTAATGCACCCATCCGCCCCCCCCCCGTCCCGCTCAGCCCTGTGCCCTGGGGTGGCCCTTGGGGACCCAGACGTCCAGCACTGTGCAGGGGTCATGGGGGCCGGGATCACAGGTCCCTGGAGGGGTGTCCCCCCTCCAAGCAGGCACCTTTCTGCCTCCCCAAAGCTCCTTGTGCCGGCGGCACACGGCCCCCAGCCCCGGGGTGTCAGGAGAGGTGGGTGCAGCCAGCGAATGTGGCAGCAGGGCACCTCCGTGTCCCCCCCGCCACCTTGGGGGGTGCCCAGCAGACACACATGCACCCCCTCCGTGCCCGGCCTGTCGCCAGGGTGCCCCAGGAATGAGCACCCCAACCCCGAGCCAGGCTGGCAGCAGTCCCAGGACTTTGGGGTCCCATGGCAGGGGCCGGGGGGGGACACCGCGCCCCGCTTTCCCCAGGCATCTCCCCCACCGTGAAGAAGACGGAGATGGACAAGTCCCCCTTCAACAGCCCATCGCCCCAGGATTCCTCGCCCCGGCTGAGCAGCTTCACGCAGCACCACCGTCCCGTCATCGCGGTGCACAGCGGTGAGTGTCCTGCCAGGGAAACCAAGGCACGGAGCGAGCAGCTGAGTGGGCCAGGTTGGGGCGGGGGGAGCCAGCGGCTTAGCTCGCAGTGATGCTGTGGGTCACTCCTTGCGTTCTCGCCCGCAGGTATCGCTCGAAGCCCGCACCCGTCATCTGCGCTGCATTTCCCCACCACCTCCATCCTCCCCCAGACGGCCTCCACCTACTTCCCCCACACGGCCATTCGGTACCCGCCTCATCTCAACCCGCAGGACCCGCTGAAAGATCTCGTCTCACTGGCCTGCGACCCGTCCAACCAGCAGCCCGGACCGGTAAGGATCCGGCCCCCATACCTGCATCCCATCACTGACCTCGCCGTGGGGCACCGGGGGCTGCTGCCAACCGGGATGCCAGAGGGGCGTCCCCCCTGCATCGTCTGCAGTCACTGCCATCACCGCCGCCACCGCCGCCGCATGTTAGGGGATCGGGGTGCTCTGGTGGCACCCCAGTGCCGGTATGCAGCCGGTAGGGTGTTTCTACCGCCATGGTGGGGGCTGAGAGCGGCTCC